GAGCCATACATTTCTGCGTTCTTAAACTTAAAAAATCAAATCAAAATTTAACTAAACAATGTTGTCTAAATAAAAAGTCAAAATTGTCTAGCTGTCTAAATTAGGGAAATAATAGTGCTTTTTAACAGATTCGAATTTCTTTTAGTAGTTTCAGAAAATTATGAACACCCCCCCTTGAATAAATTCTGCGTGCGCAAGATATAAGTCATTCAAGTGGTTCTTTTATATTGCGCATGCGCGGAAATATTTTACATTTTTTTTTCTCATAATTTTGCAGTGAATCGTATTTGACGACTCATAAAAAAACTTTATATCTTAAAAATGAAAAAAGTTTCGAGCCATTTTCAAAGTAATTTTCGTACTTTTCGAAAGAAACTCGAAATGATAAAGGGTTTTCTTCAAATATTATTTTGAATCATAAGACGAAATTAAATAACAAATTATAATACCTTACAATAAATGTTTCTACACCGATATATGATTGCATAAGGGAAAAAAACAGGCGAAAAAAAAATGTTTCTATGGGGAATGATGGCCAACAATGCCGGAGACATTTTTAATAAATCTTTGATGGAATCTTCAAATTTATTGAATATTTTTAATGTTATAACAAAAAAACGAAAGAAAATAAATTAGTTTTTTTATAGAAATGTTGGTATCTTCATAAAAATATCTAAGCCAAATTTACGAAAATGTGTGCAATTATCGCATATAATAATCACATTAATTGTTACAATTGCAAATTTATTCGTACATTTTTTTGGCCTAGGGTGTCCAAAAACAATATTTTCCGTTTGTGATTTATTGTTGGTTCCTCAAACATCTAAAAGCTTCAAACTTCATTAATAAATACAAGAAATCGCCTAAGCTAAAGATTTCTAAATTTATAAAATTATTTTATAAAATTATTTAGATCAAAAAATGTGTACAATTTTGTGTTAATTACGATACCACATTATTGATAATTACATGAAAGATTTGCAGTTTTTATGCACAAATGTGTCCTTATTTTAAGATAATATTTTATAAATTTTTAAAATTTATTTTAGATTTGCATAATTTTGGGACCCCTGTTTTCCAAAAATAAAATTAAAATTTCAGCTGTTTTTATAAACATTGTGTCTAACCCAGCATTGTTACATTTGTAAAATTTTATTGTAAGTCATTTTCGGATGGTAATTGTTTACTAAAATTTGAACACGGATTCACTTTGAGCTTCAAAAAAAGGTTTTAAAAGTATTTTGAAGTTGTACTTTAAGAATTAAACATTGAAAAATGGTGAAAAAGTTTTAAAAATATTTACAACCTTTCGGTAACTATGCTCAAAAAAAAACATTTCAATGAACAAAATGAAGCAAAAAAAAATATTAAAAAGCCATTTTGTAAATAAGGAAATAACGTTCTGATTGGTCAACATGGAAGTGGAATGCCTTTTCCGTTAATTTAAGAACCTGAACTTAAAAATACTTATATTATTTCACTGTGTACTGAAAAGTCTAATTTTTATTTAAATGCTCCTTTCCGAACACTTGAAGGAAATTAAGGACTTCCCTTTATTCGTACAAACAGAATATTTGTCGAAAAAAGTATACGTATGGGAATAACGAATTTATATTTAAAACCTCAACAGAGGTATTTTATTTCATAACCTACGATGAACTGCCGACTCAATTCTGAGTTTACGACTCTCTATGTTCAACTTCTTAGCCTTGTAATTCTGAACTCAACCCAAAAAACAAGGGAACTCCTGGATCAAGTATTGCGAAAAACTAGCCTTCGTGAAGGACTATTTGATGGAACTAACCCGCATTTGCGTTACAGGTAGAGGAAAACCACGAAAACCTCCCACGGTTAGCCTTACGAGATGCAGGCTCTACCTCATGATCTGTCTACCCCCTAGGATTTTTATCGTCAGTACTGTGGTTGGTGCGAGCCGCGTACGGAACGCGTATCTATCAGCTATCGCTGTGATTCGAACCCGAGTCTCCTCATTAAAGGCGAGTGCTCCATTCCCCGAGTCGCCACGACTCAGCAATTTTATTTTATTTTATAACCGTCGTTGAACAGCCGACCCAATTTCATGGGTTTACGACTACTTACGTTCAACTCCGTAGCCTTGTAATTTTGAACCAATCCAGAAGACAAGGAAACTCCTGGATCAGTACCCCCAGAGGTATTGATTTGTTGTGGGAACATGGAGGACTTTGAGACTCGACAGATTTAACGTGCATCAGTCACCATTTACAACACGGGGAGTCTTCGGCCGGCGAGGATCGAACCCACGACCTCTTGGATATAGGCCCAGCGCCCTACCGACCAGGCTATCCCGGCCCACGACTCAGCAATTGAAGTGTAACAAATTACAGTAAAGAGAATGCAATAAACATCAAAACAGGAAACTTAGCATCAATGGCACAGGGGATAGAGTGTTCGCCTTTCAATGAGGCGAACCAGGTTCGAATCCCAGCGATGGCTACTCGATATGAATTCCGCATCCGGCTTGTACCGACCACAGTGCTGACTTGAAATATCTTCAATGGTAGACGGATGATGGGTTCGAGTCCCCTTGCCGTCAGGCTAACCATGTGAGGTTCTTGTGATCTTCCTCTCCATATAACGCAACTGCGGGTTAGTTCCATCAAAAAGTTCTCCACAAAGGCAAATTTTTCTCCCAATACTTGATCCAAGAGTTCCCTTGTCTTTTGAATTGGGTTCAAAATTATAAAGCTACATTATTTGAACATTAATAGTCGTCCACCCATAAATTGGTTCGACTGTTACAAAATAAAATAAAAAGCATGAAACTTGAAGTATTTGGGTTATCGCCTTTCAACTCCTCTCTGTTTCCTATCAAATCAGTTTATATCATTCTCATCCTCTTCCTTAGATTTTGTCTCTCTTCGTCTTTAAATATTAACTGGCGATGTTATAACCTATAAGAATGGGATACAAATGACTGTTTAAACGAGGAAAAACAAAAATGCTATAGAAATCTGACGAATAATAGTAGAGGAAATTGATGAAATACTACTTATGTAATAAAGATTATATAAGTTTATGTCATAAGCATAAAATAGCTCTGTTTATAACATGAAGTTTATGTAATAAAACTTAAGATTTTTCTTCGCTTTTGATAAGGATATGTAATGTACATGTTACAGTGAATGACCGACATCAAGAGAATGTCGACTTTCACCGGTGAATGTCAGCAATCACATAGTCGCTTTGGTGAATGTCCGAAATATTTGTTTGGAGTAGAGCTTAAATGCATACTGGGCAGCGGGACTTGACCTGGAAAAAAAAAACATTGATGTAGGGCAAACCGGGCAAATGTATACCGGGCAGTGGCACTTAACTAGACCTAGTATATATTACCGAAGCGAACTATGTGATTGTCAACATTCACCGGTGGAAGTCAACAACCGCCCATTTCGGCCATTCGCGGTTACAGTGATTCACAAAGAAGCAAATTAAAAACTATTACTTGCGATGCTCGAGCTTGTAGGATTCGAAGAGAAGGTTCAACAACATGTATGGACTTGAAGTCTAATTTAACTCCTTTTCCCGCATCTTTAGTGATGACGGTGTCTATCCATTCCTCAAGTGTTATATCTGACAAGGTATCGGGTGGATGGGCCATCACGGGCACCGGTAATCCCACATCCTTTTCATCGATATAGCCCATGGACACATCCGCTTCCAAAAAATCTATAGCACCTGAAAAATCGTGCAACGTTTTTTACTGTATATATTAAAATCTAATGATGGTGTAGCAGTTTTCCATTGTTGTCGGAGAATTTTTGTCGTCGGGGAATTTTTGTTGACAGGAAAAACACGTGGTAGGATCCAGTTTTCCCACATTAATTTTCATATTGGTTTGGTTGTCATCAGCATTAAATTGATGTAAATTATAAAAGTATTGTTTTCCCATAAATATTTTTGCATCCGTAATTTAAAGGTATTTACCAGTACTGTTATTATTCCGTTTTTGATTTTGCTTGTTTTCTAAATTAAGAGTTTAAGAGGATTGCTTTTATTATTATAATTATTAGAATAACCAGGGCTGAGCACAACTCAAAAATACTGAAACTTTCTTGTGCAAAATAATTAACGACGCATTTTAAAAAATTATTGTTTTTATAAATTTAAATCATTCAGCTTTAAAAAACAGGAAATTCAAAATAAATTATATACAGCATAATTTAAATTAATTATGTATACGTTTACTTTTATCTCTAATCCCATTTATTATTCTACCAGAAAAAATATTTACAAATGAAAGAGATGACTAGTATAAATTCTAGTTCTAATATTTTAAATAAAATATACAAGAATTTTTATACATAAATGTGATCGATGATTTCTTTAAACTTCTGAATCTTGAATTTCCGGAAACTCCCGTTCGAGGTTAGCGAAAAATCCGGAAATCTGGATTTTTCCGGAGCACAATCATCTTTGGAATAACGTAATTCAAGTTTATATTTTAAGAAAAAGTTACTTAAATCGATGTCTGATCTTATTAACCTTTTCACAATTATTATGGCTTGGTTAAAATTACATTAATATACTCTATGATGAATTACCTTTAAAGAGATTCGTTATATGATTTAGAACTTAAATTTCTGCTTCATGCACAAAGTCATGAATGCAAAAATTGTATTTAAAATATGCATCCGTCCGTGTGGCAAGCAAAAATATTAAATTATTGTGATCTCACCCAATTTGTTATAACAATACACTTTCAATTTTAAATGTTATTTTAAAAAATAATTGCTTAGAAAAATGATTTATGTTTACTTATGGATCTGAATAGTATCATAAGGGAAATATTTGGACGTTGGAAGTGGTGAAACAAGTGTTATTATTAGTACATATATTTTTAGTTGAATCATTTCAACTGTTTTATGCCAAGAAACAACAATTATTGCAAAGTTATCATCGTCGTTGATGAGCGTCAACGAACTGGGGGCACTAGTTTGATTAAAACATTTTTCAAAAGACATTTATTTAGGACAAGGGAATCAAATTCCAAAACAGAAGTAAATGTAATAAATTCAAATTATTTTTCTTAGATTTTGCATGCAATGACACTTAATGTAGAGTGAATAACTTTTGATCAAATGATGGGAGTTTCATGTACTTGGACTAAATCTGAATAGATCAAGAGCCTCATCTTAAATAAGCTAGTTAATTTGTGCAAGCGATATTTTTTAAGTTACTAAATCAAACACAAGAAGTACTTTTTCCGAATTAAGATGGGTTTTTTTCTAACGGATGCGTACGACTGAACTTTAAATTATTGGAAGGGGAGGAGCGGCAATCTGAAAAATATTTTCCCAATAACAGAGGAGAAAACTATTACGATTTATCCGTAATTATTACGATTTCATAATCACGACTTCGGTCTTGATTCATAAAAATGATGTTTGCAACTAAGATATATATATTTTATTTTTTTACTCCTTAAGAAATTAGTAGAAAACAAAAACGACGTGATAGACACTGTTGATAGAATCATGAAATAAATAAAGAGAATAATTGCCTTCCAAGGTGTTTTAAAAATATCTGGAAGAAAAATTTTTCATCTTTTTCCCTTTAAGAAGCAAGCTACTCTGAAATTTTATCTTCTCTCCTTACTGAAAATCAAACGAACATAAAATCTAAATTGCTGTGAACTGAAGTTTTTAGTAATTCAAATGCAGGATGATTAAAAGGAAATCGAAGTTAACCAAAACATAAAACTTAATTCCAAGTAATCAATTTATAAAGAAGTTTAAAATTTCAGTGCTGTATAATGTTTAATTTACTACCTCTAAGGGTTACTTTTTTTTATTTAATATTAAATCCATGCATAATTTTATTCATATGATTATACCCATGTAGAATATATGTTACTTTGAATGACCGAAATGGGTGAATGTTGACAATCACATTGTCTTCTTGGTCCAGGTCTAGTGAAGTGCCACTGCCCGGTATGGTCTACATCAATGTATTTTTTTGAGGTTCAATGCCACTGACCGGTATGCATTTACTCCGAACACTAATGTTTCTCCTCAGCAGTTATTAAAATATCGAATAAATATAATAATATCAACGAATAAATCGGATATATCCAATATTTCGAACATTCACCAAAGCGACTCTGCGATGGTTGACATTCACCGATGAAAGTCGACATTCACGGTAACATATATCAATCAGCCATCAATCAATAATAATCTGCAGATAAATACGAATACCGCTCACATTTATAAATTTTGTTTACCAAAAGATAATTTCACGAAGATAAAAAAAATTGCTATTTATATATAATATCATATTAATTACTATTTTTAAAAATCGCAAAATATAAAAGCTTTCACATCAAATATGTGATATATGGTTTATCAAATTTATTAAACACCCATGTTGTAGGTAATATTTGTCATTATTTACTATTTCTAAACTGTCCCAATTTATTAATAATTTACTAGATGGCAGCACTATAGAAGTGTTACCGTACATAAATAGAAATTTCTATAGTGCTGCCATCTAGTATACTATTAATAATTTGATACAATTATTCTTTCTCTTTTTAATTTATTCATTCATCGAGTTGCTAAATTAAATTTGAAAAAATAAATTTAAAAAACAATAATTATCTCTTTCCAAAACAGTCATTCTGAAACTTTCACTTTAAAAACAGTTACTGAATTCATTTAAATATGTAAGAGCTGAGATTATAAGGAAATATCAGTTTTTTCAACTGCTTAGTTAACAATATCAAGTATAGAGAGCAGCACTACTCTTGTCAGTGTTGTAAATTTTAGCTTTTATTTTTTACTTTGAAAAAGAATTACTTAAAATTTATTGAAAAAATATCAGAGCCTGTTCGCTGTTTTTCACCATGACGATTGCGTTTGACAATAATTGTTGTTTCTTGGTATAAAATAGTTTTTTTCTACAAAAGTTCAAATTATTTACTTAAAATATATATACAGTGTGCAAAATAAAAAACGAAGCACCCTTAATAACTTTTGATCTAAAGATCGGATCGCGCAATCGAAATACTGTCCCAATAGTTTGTTCAGGAGAGCGGTCTAAGCTTAGTACATCATGATGTTCATTTTACATTTTGCGTACTCCATTTTAAAAATTCGATTTCTCAGAAACTTTTCGATCGATTTCACTCACAATTATATTCTTTAAAACGATGTAAAAAATTACAATTTACACTTTTTTCAACTAATAATAAATAAAATAATAAAAAAAAAATGATAAAAATTTACTAAAAGTTATTTTTTGCATTGAATTATCTTTGACTAAATAAATTTTGTAATCGTGTGCAAAATTTTTCAATTTGCATTAAAAGTTCTCGAGATATGGAGAAATACGCAAAAAGTAAAATTAACATTAAGAGGTCCAAACTTTTGAACCGCCTTTCTTACCTAACTATTGGGACCCTAGATTGCGACTGCCCCCCCCCCCCTACGTTTTCGAGTCAAAAATCCGAATCCGTCAGAAAAAAGATACGTTTATTAAGAGAAAGTACGTTTTTGTGTCAGATTTCGTGACTTGAAATATCGTTTGCACTCATTAATTAGCATATTTGAGGTCACCCCCTGGTACGATTAAGACTGGTGTGTTTAACGTCATTTTTAAAACGTGAACAGGTCCGATGATATCGTGAAGGTCAAAAGATGTTCAGGTCGTTTATTTACCTATTTATTTAGTGCTTTGCTGTAGAATAAAGAATTCTATTTGCTTCTTACCTCCTATAGTATTCATTTTTGTTCAAATTAAATGTGTATTTTGAGTGAAAATATGACTCCATTGAGATCTATTATTGAACATAAATAATTTTTTAATAACATTTAAAAGTATATAACCAATTTATCATTTAATATTTTTGATTACAAAAGAGGTTGATATATTAAATACAATTATCACATCATTTGAGCATTCAGTTCTAAATCATTTAAAAAATCACGTTTACGAAAATTTATAATATGATATTAAATTGTATGGAATTCGCGTAATATTACATTATTTAAATTCCCTATTATTTAAGTTTACATAACAATAAACAATAACTTTAAAATAGTTTAAATATCGATCTAAATAAGATTATCGTAAAATGTAGCGTAATAAGGTAATATCATAGAATTAAAAAACATTTCTTGTGGTTTTAAACTCAGTTTAGAAAAGTAAAAATAAAACGAAACATATAACGTGTGATAAAACGAAACGTATTGACGAATTTTGCAATGCCCGAGTTAGGAAGCGGTTAAATGCAAGATAAGAGAAATCTATAATTTAATAACCAACCAAAATAGGAAGTATTGCTTCTTATTACGGCCACCTTAGTTCTCCTCGGCTACCCTGGTTATTCTTTGTTTTGTTCTTCACTTTCAGTTTTTTTTTTCCTTTTTTCGTTGGTAAGGTTGCGTTTTTTTTTGTTTTTTTTTTTTAATTTAATTTGCTTTTATTATTCACGTGTTGGTGCATCTTATGAACGAACACCTGTTTTGAGGGCTCGAAACATGTCGACTTTTTTCGCCTTAATTTTTGAAGCTAAGGAAGCGTATAATGTATATTGAGTGCGTAATGTACTAGTAATTCATAAATGTAGTCAAGCCTAATGAAGTAGCAATTTATAAAAGTAGTATTGAATGTCTAATTTAGAAGCAATTTATAAAGGTAGTATAGAATATGCCTAATGTAGTAGCATTTTATAA